TGTAGCTAATATCAGGTGTATTGTGGAGCATAGGAATAACAAAGCTAACATAACAAGGTATATTAGATTGGTATGATGTAAGCATAGGCATAGTGCCTGACATATAAGAAATTTTTAGTGATAAATTATAACTCTTAAGATAGTTGCTATTTGAATGCTTTACATTTTTGTAACTTATGTAGTTTTGATGATTCCAAACATTATTGTTCAAATGTGTAGTTATCTCCTAACAATTTTAGAAGATTTGTATTTGCTCTTGTGTGTACTAACATTTCAGGAAAAATGAACTCCAGACTACGAAGACTTCAAATCAAATTTAGAATGAGATACTTTGTAAAATTTGAAGTTTGCATTTCTTTGAAATTAAATTGAAAGGGAGTGATTGTAATTGAGTGAATAAAAACATACTCACACACATAAGGAGATCATAAAATATTTATACTGATCGTACTGGACGATATACGTTCGTACGGGACGATCAAACAGTTATCTCCTATTGAGCATATAGAACGAATATGAACTTGCTTAAAAATTTTTCTAAGTCCTATTTGACCAGGACGAATTTTACAATCATCCAGGACGATTGGTTTTCTGTAAAATTTTCGTCCAGAAGAAATTAAATTATCGTCAATGGAGATTGGTCCTCTAGAAAATTTTCGTCCAGACAAAATTAATAATCGTCCAAGACGATCTGGTCTCTGGAAAATTTCGTCCAGACGAAATTAAATTATCGTCCATGGTGATTGGTCCTCTGGAAAATTTTCATCCAGACAAAATAAATAATCGTCCAGGACGATCGGTCCTCTGTAAAAATTTCATCCAGACGAATAAATTTTCGTCCAAATGATTAACCGACTTAGAATGATTTTTAGCAGTTTTTAGAACCGACCTAGTAATAACCGTTCGTACCGGACGAACCTAGTTCGTACGGGACGATCAGTTGTACGAAGACATTTCGTACACATGTACAAATGGGGTCGTTTCAAATCGTTTAAGTAAAATCGTCCAGGACGATCCACGATTGTACGGGACGATCCACTGCGTACAGAATTGAAAAATTGCAGTTTTTGGGCGATTTTTCTTGTCTTTTGTATAAATAGTCCAAATTAGACTGCCACCCAATCTTTTTGTCATTTGATCTTCGTGCCTCTTAAGAGAATAGCCAA